AGTTATAAGTACCCTAACAGTGGAGTTATAGTGCTTATAAGTCTATAAGTCCCCCGACCCTCCAAGTAGGGGTTTGGGGTTTAGGGTTTAGGATGTAGGGTTTAGGGTTTCGGGTTTAGGATCTTAGGGGTTTAGGGTTAGGATTTTTGGGTTTAGGGTTTTAGGGGAGTTGAGGGCTTTGAGCCCTAAAACCCTAAATACATCTAGATATTGGGTTTAGGGTTTAGGGCTTAGGGACTGATATAAGCGTTGAGGGTTTTTGACCCTGAACCCCTAAATACCTCTAAATACTGAACCCTAAACCCGAAACACCCCAGTCCTGTGGGCCTAAAGATACACTATAGGGGCCTAAACAACTACCTAGACTAGTTTGGGGGTTCCTTACTATAGATGTAGTATAATGGACCCTAAAACCCTATTCGACTTGTTAAGGCCCCTACATTTTACAGTTCGAAGACTTTCGCTGCGTCCGGAGACCGTTTTCTTTTGAATCTGGGGTGGAAATAATATGGAAGCCTAAATAATTACAAATATTATTTAGGGTTTAGGGTCTAGGGTTTAGGGTATTTACCAATATTATTGCTTTGGCTCAAAACCCTATTCTAATTATCAAGGCCCCTACACCCTGAACCCTTACAGTAGCCCTTCTAGAACCCTATACTAAACTTTAGGGTTCAGGGGCCCCTTTTTACCAAACATTAAGCCCTCCAACTCCTGGGTCAGGAGCCTGGAGGCCCCTGCAAAACTTCACAAAACAGATTAAAAACCTAGGGTTTAGGGTTTTAGGGTTTGGGGTTTAGGGATATAATGGGCACCTTACTCGAACCCCGCAAAAAGCCCTGCAAAGACCTTGAAGTCTAATTTTGAAGGTAGGAACCCTTCAAACCTTTCAAGACCCCACAGAAACCTTATCGTAAGACCATCTAGACTTGAAGTATAGTGTATGCCATAGAGTTGGAACATCATAATCCTCGTGCCCTTAAGGTAAAGTGTAAGGGTAGCACAAATCATCCTAAGCCCTTGCTCCAACTTTCTGGGGCACACTAGAAAGGAACCCGGTTCGAATTTAGGGTTTAGGGTTGAGGGGTTTAGGGTTTAGGGCTTAACGTCCCTGTACTAAACCCTTAGAGAACCCTAAACCCTAAACCCGAAACCCGAAACCCTAAACCCTAAACCCTAGACCCTAAACCCAAAACCCTAATCCCTAAACCCTAAACCCTAAACCCTAAACCCTAATCCCTAAACCCTAAACCCTAAACCAAAGACCCGAAGCCCAAAGCTTTCAGGGGAGCTACGTGGCCGAGCTGATGCGGATCGAGGTCGAGGCTAGGAGGCCCATGGAAAGGGCAGCACCTCGGCAGAGATCTTAGGAGCTCGGTTTAGGGTTTAGGGTTTAGGGTTTAGGGTTTAGGGTTTAGGGTTTAGGGTTTAGGGTTTAGGGTGATCTTAGGAACTTTGGGTTCGAGGGTTTTGCGGTTTTGGGGTTCGGGGTTTTTGGGGTTCAGGGTTTAGGGTTTAGGGTTTAGGAGCTCGGGGTTCGAGGGTTTGGGGGTTTGGGGGTTTAGGGTTTTGGGGTTTGGGGGTTTTGGGGGTTGGGGGTTTTGG